AGCTATGCAAGTTTGAGTTCTTCTTAACATGGAAAAGCAGACTTGCAGGCACTGTTTTAGGTAAGGTCTTGTGGATGGTTGTGCAATGGTATAAATATTTGCATTGCTAGACTCTTACCTGAAGTGCTCTAACATTAAATGTAATCCTTTCGTGTTTGTGCTGTGACGGTGGCACACAACCAACCTGTGACAAGTTTATAACACCAGAACATCATCCTCTTCCCTCATTTACAGCAGATGAGGTCATGAATTTAGTCCTTGACATGATATTTGCTATCTGCATGATTTCATTCCACTTGTTTCTCGAGTCCTTAACCTCTTCCCATTCTTGTATGACTTTATCCTCCTTCATTGGTGATGCTTCATAACACTGTGTCATCGACGTATTTCATTAGTGCTGTCCTACTTGTGTCAGGGCGCTAATGAAAATATTAAATGAAATCAACCCCAAGGTTAACCTTTGAAAAACACCCTCCAAAGGAAGATTCTTCCTCAACCTTGAAAGGGATCCAATTCTGAGACCTTGAGATACCCAAAGTGGCATCTTCAGTGACCCGTGAAAAATTTACAGATGAAAAACTATCTCTCATGACATGCCAAGGTGACTAGAGGAGGCCAATAAGTCATTGAGGGGTTTTGGCAAGGTGAAGACAACAAATAAGTCTTCTTCAGAAAAAACACATTTGGTATAGCAAGTAAGTTGCTGTTGGTAAAAAGGGAACAAGATAATCATCTGCTGCTGTTGTGGGATTTTTTTTTTCCAGTCCCCCGAAAGCTTGGCTTGGAAGCCCACCACTTTATGGACTATATCCTCTTTGGTCAACCCAAGCTCATCGATCTCTTTTCTGGACCACCTAGGAAGACAGTTATCAGTTACGGCTTTGCTGTGATGAGTCGCTGTGTAACTACAAGCCCCAGGCTAGACATGATGAAGCTAAGCAAGGTTCCCAGCATGCCAGAGCTCCACTGATGCAAACAGTGACTCTGCTGACTTGAAGAGATGAAGTAAGAGTAATGAATCTCATCTGGACAAAATCTGCATGGACACTACCAGTCTCCTGAGCCCTGTCTTGACACTGCTCAAGTGTGGCAATAACGTCTGAAAGCTTTTCCCAGGAGGTCAGGTTTGCTGAAGAGGATCATCTTGGGCTCCTTAGGAGGTGTAATAAAGTACAAGCCCTTTAGCTGCACCAGTGTTTTTTTTCTGCAGTATTTCAGTGCCAGCACATACTTGTCTGTGATGTAATTTTTTTCCATTAATAAATCCACAGACCCTGCTGGATACCACTGCTGTTATGTTTGCAAAATGTTACAATGCTAATGGAGCTCTGCTCGTTTCATGTGTCTTGACAATATGAAATATTGGCCTCCTAGGCATGAAATAGGCCTTTCCAAGGTATTTGAGCGTTCCACTCTCCTTGGACTAATGGACATCTTTTTAAAGCTGTCAGACTTCATTTCTGGTTTGGCAGATGCCGCGATCTTACGGTGTAGTGGAGAGGTGCCCTTGTGTTTTCTTTTAACACTATCAGCTAGCCACTGGATTCCCCTATCCCAACGCTTGCCGTTAATAGAGTTGTAATCATATTTTGCTGCACAGAGTATAAAAACATCCATTTTATTATGTAAAAGTGGTCTGTTGAGTACCAGCAGCAGCAGTTTTAACAGCTGATTGCTTGTTCTGATTCTCAAGGGTGAGGTTTTACAAGATGTCTTGGTTTAAGAGCAGCACGGAGGGAAAACTGTATCTTTGGGGTGTGCTCTGCATCAAACGGCCTCCTTGTATGTACACAGGATATTGGAGAATGAGGTACATACTTTGCACTTAAAATAGAGCCCTTTGAAACTGGCACGGGATACTCAGTCTTGTCCGAGTATCATTAATCACAGTTATGACTCTCAGACAAAATGAGCCTCGACTTCACGTTGCTTGTTAAAATAAGAAATGTACATTTCAGTATTTCATTTTCAGCTGCACTCACTGCACTTCATAGCATAGCCAAAACTAACGCATTTGAATCATTATTTCACATTTATTTGGACACATTCTGTATGTATAGTATTTTTATAACAAGATGGCTTATTTTGACTATATTAAAAGAAAAAAATTATTGTAAGTGTCTGGAATGCAAGAAAAAAGAAGGATTTCTTATACTGCAGCACATGTTCAATGTGTGATTTGAAATCTGACTGCAGTCACCCAATAGCTTCTTCTCTTCCAATTTCTCTGCTTTATTTTTTTAATTTCTGGCTGTCTTTCTGTCTTTCTGTCTTCCTTTTTTACAAAGCCCTCTCCATAACACATTTTCAGACATAAACCTGCCTAGCACAAGCCTCAGTTTGCCTGTAAGGCTGAGACTCTGTAAGGCTTTCAGCCAGTAAGGCAAACAGCACTGATGCAAATCTTACTGCACCACTGAACTGGAAATTCCTTGCATGGATACAGTGATGCAGCTGCACAGGTGGCTGAAATCCCTGGGTAACACAGACCTAAAAATAAGGCACTGCCCCGCCTCTTTAGCCAGAATTCCTCAAAGGGCAGGGGCAAATGCAAGGATAAAGGCTCAGGGAACAAGTTATGCAGAGCCTGAAAGGGTGATAGTGCTAAGCCAGGTCTTGGGGAGGTGAGGTTGGAGCTGAGGTGGCTGAAGAAGGGAAGCCTGCGGGATATCTAGGAAAGCCAGACACAGCAAGGCTTTGCCTCCATAGCAGGGCTGGAGTTCACTTTTAAGGCCCCTGCACTGCCTTGCAGAGCAGGTGCTTTTTTTTCCACTTGTGTGGGGTCAGAGCAAGCTTGACGCCAAATCTCAGGATATGACACACTTCTTTTTAATGCCCAAGTAAGGTGGGGAACTCATCTATCTGCTTCTGCTGACAAAATAATAGTTTGTTTCTTGCAAAGAGAAATAGGCCCAGGCATAAGAAAGAGTATCAATGCAATACCACTGCACAGCTGTCGGAAGAGCGATGGTTCCCAAAACAACTGTAACATGAGTGGTGAGTGCATGCACAGCCCAAATGCTGTATGAAAAAAAGAGATAGCGTTTGGCTGCTCTAAGAAGGTTATAGACATTGAATGAGAGCTGGAGCGATGGCAGGGTGAAGGAGAGGGTGGGCTTCGAGTTCCCCCTTGAAAGCGATGCTAAATGGGAAAAAACTCTCAAAAATGGAAGGATTCTTGTTCAGGCTGCAGATCCCAGGGCTGAGAAGAGGGGACCTGCCTGGCGGGGTGGCTGATCAGGAGGACTTCGTTAGCAGCTCTCAATTATTCATCTACTTTGAAGTCAATGGCTGCACCTCAAAGGTCTGCACAATCTCTTCCCAAGTTTGGACCACAGCATTTCCACATGCGGTGCTGGGTGCTGGCAGGCTCTGTGCTGCAGAGGAGCGGAGGGCAATCACACGGAGACAATCGCTTCAGCACAGGCACCAGCTATAAATAGGCACCTTGATGTCACTTGTATAAAAAAGCAACAAGTGATAATTAAATAGTTTCTGAAGAACAAGTACCAGCCTGGGACTGATGGAGGGCATCTATACCATCTTGGGGAAAGGGATTCTGCTAAAACTAGCATTTTTTTCTTTTCCTGAAATAGCCATTGATTGCTTTATTCTGTGATACATGCCCTCATGGGAAGGGATGATATATTAAACTGCTTGACAGTTTTGAATTTGAGGATGACCCAAATCTCGGTAGTTGTACATGAAAAGTGTCAGATAAACATTGGGCTGACCAGAGCAGGCAGGCGTTGCCTTTTACCTTTATCAAGTTTGAATCGATGGTAAAATTAAGTCATAAAGATTAAATGCAACTTGCTGGGCTTTGTCAGTAAGGGGGTTGCGGTTCGCAGCCCTTTTTCTGTCACGCATCTGTGTAACGCATTTGGTGTCCTCAGCTTGAGACTTGTAATTCATATTTAAGGAATTATTGTGAAAATTGAGGTACAAAGGCTGTGACAGGAATCCCAGACAATACTTGCTCCTTGTCAATGTTAATTAATTAAGCACTGATATATTTGACACTGGAATTAATCACATCCACTTATACATAACAGGAAAATTATCGGTTGAAGGGATCCCATGGGGCTATGAGGCTAGGTGAGGGTTCGGGGTGAGGAGGCAGGTTTCTCGCCTGCTCCGCCTGCATCTGTGGCAGAGAAACCTCCCAGGTTCACAGCTAGTGAGGTTTCGACGCCCGTTTCCCCGATTTCAGGGAAATTTTCTTCAGCTTTACTGACAAGAGGCCTCGGGAGGGCAGCTCACCGGAGGGCTGGGAAGGCCGGGGAGCCCGGGGCTGTTGCCCGGCCAGGGACGCAGGTTCCGCGGGGAGGGGGTCCCCAGAGGG